TGAGGTCTTCAAAATATTAAATAAACAATAGAAGATTGGAAGTCAATTTCAATTGTTTATTTTTCAATGATTAATAAATGATTACTTAATGTGAAACGAATCGAATAAAGTAAGCAAAAGCATCTGAAGCAAATAGGCTCTTATATATTACTTTGGATGATAATAACTTTGAAACACTGAACTAATCGGACTATTAGATATATCTTCAAAGCCAAATTATATTAGTCCTGTGATAAATAGTTATTACTCCAATACTTGTAGTTATAATTTCACTTGAGACACCTAAATTAATTTCTTGTCGCATAAGTAGCGACCTGCACGAATGGTGTAACGACTGCCCCGCTGTCTCCGACATAGACCCGGTGAAATTGAATTCTCCGTTTCAACAAAATATTAATCTAGTGATATTATTGGACAGTGCATGATTTCGAATTGTCAACGGATAGAATAGGAGTCTTTTTGAATTGTTCTTTGTAAAGGAAATGTTAGCTGTCTAAACATATACTACTCTACTAGTACAACTGCTAGTGCCACTTGTGATGGAGATATAGGCCAAATTCTTAATCTTCTTTTGACTAAATTAAGAAAATAAAACATGATGTTCAATTAGGAATAATGATTTCGGGGGGGAGGACACATTGCAGATATTTAAATAACATTTCGTGATTTCTTGGAAAGGTAAGAAAAGACTTACTTTTGATTATTTATTAAATTAAAGTAGTTATATCGATAAGGGGTCCACATAAAACATTTAATTTAATTGTAAAAGAAAACGAAAAAGCTTGTTTAAGGCTATCAAGCGATGTGGGGAAACAAAAAAGGGCTATTAAGTGCCCAAATATAAGTGTAACTTGATAATAGGTGAATTTGACTATAATCACACCTTAAATAATCACCTTCTTGTGTAGTTTTAATGCTAAAAGTGATGACAAAATGCTCTTATTAGTGTTTTTCATGATTTGTAGGTGATATATGTATAAAGACGGCTAAGGAGCAGTTTTGGAGTCAAAAGTGATGAAAAAGAGGCCAACTGTGAAATTTCCTAAGTGACCCGTGCAAAAACAGGCCGAAGATTCAGAGAACTGGATCCACCGCGGTTCCACCGCGACCGCGGCAGAACCGCGGTGGGAAGCAGCTGCAGAAGTTCAGAGATTCCGCGAGGGTGTTTGGCCGCGGTTCTACCGCGACCGCGGCAGAACCGCGGCAGGCGCAGAAACTTCTGGGACCAAAGTGTCAATTACGGGATTTTTAGACCTAAACCCTATTTAAAACATTAGACTTCGCCCAAGAGAGGCATGTATTGATTTTTTAGGTTTCTTAGCAAGGAAAACAATTGGGAGAAAGTACTCTAAACATCTTTCCTCTTTTCTTTTGATTTTATGATGAATTCAAGCTTAGTTTATTTTCCCATAGTCATGAGTAGCTAAATTCCTTGTTTAAGGTGTTGATGGAACCTATTGGGTGATGAACTTCTTGTTTATGTGAATACAAATTGCTAGTTTAATCTTTATTTGTTCAACTTCGTGTTCGTTGTAGTTAATTGACAGGATCCTCAATTAGCTGTGCCTATTTAGTGTGCATAACTTGGAAAAGAATGCATATTTAGGGTATTGTTGAACAACACCACTCCTAGATTATTAGAGGAATCTATAATTGCGGGTTTAAAGGCGGGATTAGGAATAACGAAGCCTTGGGTGCAATCTAAATTGAATTGTGCTAAATAAAGTAAGCTAGTGTATCTCGGGAGAGTGCAATAGTAAATTACTGTGATTACTCGGGAGAGATTTACGGTAAGATTAGCGTTCATGATTGATAGAGATGTGTGGGTAAATTTGTATGAGCATAAACAGAAGGGATTCCATCAATAGGGGAAATCATTGCCTTAGCTTTTTCTCATAATTGTTTACAACCTTATTAATTTAGTTACAGCTATTTAGTTACTTGCAAGCTAGTTATTAAAGAACACTCAACTGAGATTTGAATATTTGGGAAGCTGGTTCTGAAGACTTAGTGGGTCTGAAGATAGTGGTTGATAGGTTAACTCTCTGTGGATTCGACCCTGGGCGTAATACTCGGGTTATATTTGCAACGTCCGCAAAATCCTTTTTATAAGGCATAGTTGGGCGTGATCATAACTCACGCAAATACCAGGTTAGATGTGATCGAGGGTGTTTGGTTCGTTAGTTAATATATTAAAGTGTTCAATTGATCGTTAATGACAAAATTAAAGGACTATCTATGTAAAACTCTTCGGCATGACTTGAGGTGGGAGAGTCTACCTTAATAATTAGCTAACTTACAAGCCACGCCTTAATATATTGGTGGCATGGAAGCGATGCAGTAAAATTAACTAAACTCGTTACTTTATTAATATAGTCAATGCTTGTTAATTTAGTGATGCTGTATCTTATTCTTGCCTCCAACTAATTCTTAGTACTGCTACGTTTTGAGAAGACTTAAGGCTAATTAATTAGGAAATCTTTTTAATTGTTGCTTTTAACTTTGAAACGAAACCCCAAATATTGCATTATTTAAGTAATTAATTCATTGAAAGCAGTCAAGTTCTTTCTTTTCAATGAATTTAATTAACTTTTCGTTCACACCCTATGGCATTTTCCTTTCTGTCCGTTTTCCTCTTCCTTGATTTATAAGTGGTCGTTCAAAAATAGTCCAGTTTCAAAAGTAATGGAAATTTAGCCTCTTTAAAGATAAATCTGAGCGAAACACTGTTCAAAACCCGGAAAATACGCCAGTATATTATGCTGGAGTTCCAGCATAAGTATACTTGAACTCCAGTATATTATACTAGAGTTCCAGCATATTATACTGGAGTTCCAGGATAAGTATGCTGGAACTCCAGCATAATATGATGGAGTTCCAGGATAAGTATGCTGGAATTCCAGCATAATATACTGGAGTTCCAGCAAAGTATATCAGTCCAGTATAATATGCTGGAAGTTCATACACAAGTGCTCGAATCTCTAGTATATTATGCTGGAACTTTCCGTGTGTTGGAGTTCCAGCATAATATGCTGGAAGTTCATACACAGGTGTACGGAACTCTAGTATATTATGCTGGACCGGTCTCTGTTGCAGCAAAATAGTGGCTATTTTTCATTGACTTGGTAAATGCTGGCTATTATTGAATGACCAGTCCGAAAACTGGCTAGACCGTGCTATTTTTACGGAAAAAAGAGAGTCTATTAAACGCTCAAATATAAGTGTAACTCACATAGATACCAGGTTAGATGTGTGTGTTTACGAAACACAGTCCAAATAATCAAGGGTGTTTAGTTCGTCATTTAATAAGTTAAAGTGTTCAATTGATCATTGATAACAATTTAAAGGGCTAACTATGCAAAATTCTTTGGCATGACTTGAGGTGGGGGAGCCTGCCTTAATAATTAGCTAACTTACAAGCCTTTGGCATTTTCCTTTCTGTCCGTTTTCCTCTTCCTTGAAGTGAAATCCAACTGTTCTTGCTGGAATCATTAACTAGAATAATACAATTCAAACTATAATATCACGAGTTTAAAGTCAATAATCCAGTTTGTTATCTAATTAGATTTTTTTTTATTAGATCTATTACTTGAAAAAGATAAAGAATCACAACTAATTGAAAGATAGTTTGTTACACTTGACAATTCAATTTCTTTTGAAAATTCATTATTCTGGTTAAAGCTAAATTTATTAGAAATATAACTGACTGACTGGCAGTACACTGCAAGCACAATTAATAGGTAGGAATCAATGCAAAGAGTTACTACCTCCATTCACTTTTACTTGGCACATTTTGACTTTTCACGCCCCTTAAGAAATAATAAATGAAGTGCATAATTTACCATGATACCCATATTAGTTGATGCATATTTTATTGGATTTGAGAAAATGATTTGAAATGAGTAATAAATATTGTAGGTATAACCATGGGCGAACGGTATATATAGGTAAAATATTAGATTTTAGTGGTATATAATATATATTGAACACCCTTTATTGAAGATTTTTTGTACTTCTTTCAAGTTTGAACACCCTAAATGAAATTTCTGGCTTCGCCACTGGGTATAACAGGAAAAAAGATTTGTCTTCTCTTGATATGTGTAAAGTGACAAGTAAAACTGAAAATTAGTTTTTAGTATACATGCCAAATAAAAGTGAACGGATGAAGTATTTATATTCGGGTGAAATTTCGATACACTTTGTTTGGTACATGCATTTAAAGTAAAGTTAGGTAAATTCCATTGTTAAAAATTGGAAAAGAGAAGAAATGCAATGTTACTGAAACTGTCCAAGTCTAAGTGTCTGACCCCATCATTACTCATACACATACCCTATATGGATGCAAACTTTTGCAGTTCGAAATCAAGGGATTATACTTAAAATTAGTGCCTCTTATGGGATATGTGAGAGAACACTTAGCCACATTGGAGGATTTTGAGAGTCTTGATTTACAAGTTAAGGACCACTACTAACAGCCCCTTTTGTCACTATTTTGAAATGGTTTAAACCTCAAGTTTTTCCAAAGACATTCTTTGGCAAAATGAAAAGCAATTCCACATTGGTTATAGAAGGTCATTTAAGGTATTCATGGATGTTGAATTAGCGTATTGTTAAGAAAGTAATCAAGTAATATAATTGTCATGTCATAATGAGCAGTTGATTAATCCCCTCCATTGAATTTGAATGCCTTCATCTTCACTTCACTAAATTGACCAACTTAACCTTAGATCATAACACTTGAAGCTTAATTCTCTCTCTTTTTGCTTGTGTAATTCAAGGTCTTTAGTCATTGCAAGTCAAGGGCTCCTCCTTGTTCTGAAAGCATAATTGATAGTAAAATCTAATTACTCATTTTCACTTCCTCATTACAACAATAAGCCAAGTCATCGTTGTCCTCCGGCGTACCTAAAGTTGTCTAAAGGCCACAAGCAATTTTTCTAAGTAGAGAAAAAAGGGGCCCCCTGGGCTTACCAAACTAATTTGGATATTCACCATTATATAAACCTCTTTGTAACTGAACATGTCCTAAACTTGTTACATTTCCTAACTAGCTCCTACCAAATTCTTCTCCAAAATGAACTGGATCAGAGGCCACACTATAGGCCGCGGGTCCACCGCTGCCGTCTCGGTCGCCATGTCGCGCTGCTCCGGCGAGATTTTTGCTGTCAAATCCACTGAGTTGTCCCAGTCCGAATTCTTGCAAAAGGAGCAGAAAATTTTGTCAAGTTTGAGCTCCCCTTATATAGTTGGCTACAAGGGGTACGATAATACCAAAGAGTACAACAAGGACATGTTCAATCTTATGATGGAATACATGCCCGGCGGAACACTCACCGATGAAATACAGAGACAGGGAGGACGACTCAACGAGCAGTTGATCGGATATTACACGAAGCAAATTGTTCATGGATTAGACTACCTACATTCGAAAGGGTTGGTGCATTGTGACATTAAGGGACGCAACATCCTTTTAGGTAAAACTGGTGCCAAAATTGCAGATTTTGGTAGTGCTAGGTCAGTCGATCAGGCTAAGTGGAACGGTGGCACGCCTATGTTCATGGCACCAGAGGTAGCTCGAGGGGAAGAACAAGGGTTTGCAGCTGATATATGGGCATTAGGATGCACTATTATTGAAATGGCCACTGCTGCCTCACCCTGGCCTACAGTTAGCAATCCAGCTTCATTGCTTTACCATATTGCATTTTCTGGCCAAACCCCAGAAATTCCAAAGTTTCTCTCCTCACAAGCAATGGATTTTGTAAGTAAATGCTTGAGAAGAGATCCAAAACTGAGATGGTCAGCTAAACAGCTCCTCAACCATCCGTTTCTTGAGGAATCAGAATCAGATTCAAACAGCAAGGTAAATGAAGAGTTCATAACAAGTTCCCCAACAAGCATTCTTGATCAAGGCATTTGGAATTCAGTCGAGGAATCAGAAACCATCGACGATTCAACGCAAGCAAGTGGTTCAATGGATTCTCCTCTGCAAAGGGTAAGAAAATTGTGTACGCAATCAGGAAAACAAGAGTGGAGATGGGATGAAAGTTGGGTCACGGTTAGAAATTACAGTGAAGATAACGAAGGTGATGATAGCAAGGTAGTTTCTGGCATGACAGCTTTGTCAACCAGGCATGAAATGGAGCTGGAAAGCTGTTATTGCCAAGATATTTATTGCAGCATTTGTAGTATACAGCAGAGAGCTGTAATTAGCAGTTTCATTTTTGACACACATAAAAGAAGTACAGCAAATAAAATTCAGTGTTCATAAATCTCTCTCCTCTCTGTTTTTTTACCTCAAACGACTTACCTTTCTTTATTGTTTAGTTTCGTTTTTTTTATTAGCATAAAGTGATTAGTGCACAGAAACAAAGTTCAACGGCCTAAGATAATTTCTCAATACATTATATATTATAGCCACAAGAATGGTAAAATCAAAGCATGGGACATGCTTCATAAATTCCACGGAGAATGATGACCTGTTTGTTAGGCGTTTGTCCAGATTTTCTTACTATAATTGGTTTTCCTATTTCACGAAGGAAAGGACAACATATTTACCATAATTGGGTTTTTCTTTTCTTAGAAGGAAAATATAATTCCTCCATATTTGGCTAGTCCCTTTTCTTGTAGGAAAGGAAAAGGTTTGGAATTCTATAAATTGAGGATCCGCCCTTCTCATTCGGTAACATCCACAATGTAGCCATATGGGGTTTGAGAGTCGTGTTTATGGGGAGAACCTTACGGGACGAGTGTTAGTGTGTCACTTGTGTTTGCCTCTTCGTGAGGTTGTTCTCTCGATATTTTGTACTCTCTTTTTATATAGGGGATTGCTCATCTCCGCCGTGGACGTAGGTCGATTGACTGAACCACATTAAATATTTGTGTCTCTTTTGGTAGATTTCTCTTTTGTTGTATGATTTATCGCCGTTCAGGGTTTGCTTAGCTAGTATCCGCATGACACCTGATTTTTTCGGTCTTAACACTGTCATATCCCTTCTATTGCAAAACGTTTTAACCATTTAAACAGGGTTTAGAGAAACTTTAAGTCAGTTGGAAGCCGAAATTAATGAAACAAATAATCAATAATAGATGTTATGAAATTAAAAAAAAAAAATTCCAACAGTTCCATGGTCATGCCAATGAAGAAAAAGGCCTTAATTGAAAGGAAATGACAAAATTCCAACCTAACGAGATTTCCCTTGCAAACTCATAATATAAACATGTCACAATTGACATATGAGTGTCCTGAAGAGGAGATTTTTGGAAGTAGGATTCGCTTCTGCCAGAAGGTATACAACTACACATATGCTTTTGTTTGGCTAATGCTTTCTCAACCTCTCCACCTACGCACCAGACAACTAAAAATAAAAATGAAACAACCCCAATGGATGCGACAGAAGTAGTTTATTTGCGCGAATTAAGTAATAAGGTTAAGGTCCTTGTGGGAACATCCGATAAAATTGAAACGATACAAAAAAAGAGCAATGGTACCCTTCAAAGCTGAAGTCATATAGGCCCTTATAACCTTAGCTTATCTTCCATCAAAGCCTTGTATAATTGGATGATTTGTGCAGAAAACAGATATAAACTTAACAAAGTTTACAGGCCCTTCAGTAAGGCCTGTTATTGTTTGGACTCTTCCAGTGGTATTTGCCCCACCTGACCAATAAATGTGATGCTTGTTTCTTTAAGCTGGCCAAGTTCAACAGTGTGCATATGAATGTGGTAAGAAGCAAAATGGAGGACTGCTTAATTGAGTTTTATGTCACGGGGAAATAAAAAACGACTGAAGCAACATGATATTCTTAAATCTTCGTTCAATTCGGCAACATGAAAAAAAGGTAAGATTGTGAATTACACTAGTTTATTCTCCTTTGAACTAGCCAAAACAGAGAGGAAAAAAAAAGAAGAGAAAAGAAAATAAAGCTTAATGCTATGCATGTACAACATTCTGCCATCAGTTCTCTTTGAGAATTTACAAAAGTTTTACTTACACAGACAAGCATCTTTCAAAGGAAGCAAGTTGGTTATTTGCCCTCAACACTGATAAATTCGCCTGCGATGTCTGGGCGAGGACAATGACTGAGTGACAGAGACAAGGTACTCACCATATTTTGTTGCTGCCTCCATTACATTCTCAAAATCTACATTTTGTCCATTATTTTCAAGTGTTGGGCAACCCAGCTTAATTTTCAAGTTAGACCATCCATCTGACTCGTCAATAATCTGGACCTCGTGGCTTATTGACTGCAACTGGTTTCGAAGTGTCTGATTGTATTCAAGCAAACGATCATATTTAAGATGAAGTTCTTCGAACTGGTTTTTTAATTTCAAAACAATAGCTCCTGCAGCCTGAGCCCTAGTAGCTTTCATCTTACAATCTGTTTCCAGTTTCTTCATTTTAGCTCTCAATTCTGCAATCTTGCCCTGTAAAACGCTACGATGATCCTCCATAAGCAATTTTCTTTCCTGAAGCAGTATTTCTTCAGCCTTGATAATCTTCCTAACAGAGTGATGCTCCATTATTACAGGGTGCAATTTGTCCAACACCATCCATGCAAATAATGAAAATCCTGCAAATCACAGGTTTAGGGTTGAAACCATGAAATCTGCAAAACGCATCTGACATAGATCAGCTGCTCAAGTATATGCATCTGCATATAACCTAGATATATGTTACTCCTATTGGCAAACTCCACCTTCAGTTTTAGGTAATACTTTTTGGAGGGACAGAGCACTTACCCTATTGTGTTAAGCAAGTAACGGGTTAATGTTTCTGTATGTGTAACACTGGACAACGAGAATCACATGTATTATTGGTGGATATGCGAGAAGCCACCTATAAGCTTCAAGCTCAATTTAGTTACTCATATCAGTACAAATGGATTCATCATGCTTCTTCAAGAAAAAACCTTTCTTGGACTTAATTAGGTATATGGTGGACAGTGAATTAACAGAACCATATATAAATACTATATATGATGGTTAGGAGAGGAGGCAGAATGCATAAAAATTAAAATTAGTAGTTAAATTAGTCGCAATATCTGTTCCCATCCCATAAGACATTGGAAAGACGTTCAAAGAAATGGGGAAACCATCCATTTGGGGAAGAGGACTAGTAACCAAAGGGATGACAAAACTAAACATTATTTCCAAATGCTAGTGAATAGTAGTTCGGGAGATGAAAGACCACATCCCCCTCTGGGCATTTCATGTCCTCACTGGTCAATAATAAATTTAGTGGCATTCCACCGGTAGAGTGAGATGCTTCCGAAGATTTTGAAGTTCCTGGGTGCCTTGTCATTTATTAAGGAATGACGAAGGGAAGGTTGGGAGCTTGATTAAGTCAGATGGAAGAAAGATTGTAATATAGCAAAAGCACAAGATAGTTGACAGCGTCTTTAAAAAAGTCATTTGCTTCGTTGTTTAAAGCGATGAATCAATGTAAAACGAGAGGTTTGCTTCATGTGTGAAGCCATGCACTTCAAAGTAGGAGTGGGTGTCGATCGGTTCGGTTTGGTTTTTTTCATTTTCGGTTTGTCATTTTGGTAACCAAAACTGAACTGTAGTAATTTCATTACAGCTCGGTTCTTTTCATGCTCAGTTCAGTTTAATCAATTTGGTTTTTTCGGTTTGGGCCAGTCAGGTAGGATCTTTTTAGACAAAAAATGAGTCAGAATTAACTTGCAAAGGATCCTTTAATTTTTATGATTCCCTTTTTAATAATCTCGGCAAAGAAGAACCTTTTTTCCTAATGGTATTTACATGCACACTAGACTTGTGTCATCTTATATAGGATGTTAGTTTTTCTCTTATTCTTATTAGCTGGACCACCGGTCCTTTTTTCACACATTAATAGAAACTTGTCATCAGTCTACACAAGTGAATTAGCTTAGAACAACCTACTTAGATTACTCTGTCCATTTCCTATATCACTTCTTGTACTTCATATCCATCACAGTCATAGGAGCTTCAGTACCCTTCTTTTCTTTTCTTTTCTTTTCTTTTCTTTCACCAGTACCTGGCTTTTCCAGTCCTGCTCGTGGTGATTCTCACTGTTAGTCAACTATCGGTTCGACTCTAACTGCTAACTTACTCAACCAAGTTTAAGGAAAAGGGAGCCAAGAAACGTCTCTTTACATATTTCGTGCTTCACAAATTAGACACAAACTACAAACGTACTAAAGAATTTCTCAAGAATCAGTTGACGTATCATCAGTCAAAGACTATTTTAAGTAGGAGTAGCTTTTTCTTTCAATTCTGTAAATATCAAAATAGTACGAGAAAGAAAAAAGAAAAACACGAAATCCCAATAAGATTGAACATGAACAATAAGAGGGGAAAAAACAAATTTTAAAATGAAATATTACTATAAGAGTCTATCAGGGAAGCCAGAGGACATCAAAAGCACCAACTTTGAGAAAAACCCATGTCAAGAAAATAAAACTGTTGACATATCATCAGTCAAAGACTATTGAGATACCTTTATTCCATTCTTTGCACTCAAACCCATATCGAATATCACAAGAATAGTGTGCTGCAGTAACATATCATCAGTCAAAAGGATTAAAACTTTTATTATTGCAGTTATCACATCATCAGTATTCAGTCAGGTGAGAGAAACAGGAAGAAGGATGGCCCAGAATTCTTTTCTAAAAGCTTTCACTAAACCGAGAAATGAACCGAAGAACAGAAATCTTGAAACAGATAAACCGCGAATCGACCGAATAAACCGTAAAACCGAAACCGAAAAAGCCAAAAATTTCGGTTCAGTCCTACTTCAAAGAAATGTGAGCTACAAACAATGACTAGCAAAATGATCCGAACAAGAAGCGGTCCGTTCGTTGAATCTCAACTTTGAGGAGTTAGACTAGTATCAGCATCATTTTATATTTGATACTGAAATTAGTTATTTTTTAGAGAAAGGTATTAGATGATGTATTAGTTATATTAATTGCATTACCACAAAAAAAGTTATTTTAATTGCAACTTCTTTATTATAGTACTGAATTCATTTATGTTTGGTGCTTTTTAATTTCTTGTAAATTGTGTGTTTCGCTTCAGAGAAGTGTGCCCTTCACTCAAGCCTCATAGAGAAAAACATTGTTTGCTGAAACTACATTTTGCACTTTATGTTTTCAAAAGCACTGATAGCCGAGAACTGAAAGAGGTGATTCCATTAACTACGATAAAAGAAGGGGAAAATGAGAACAAGCATGAGGCTTAGCAAACCTTGAAGATATCTTTATGGTGTTCTGCAACTCTATATTGTATCAAACTCTTGGGTATACAGGAGATTAACCTGGAATTTTATGCTTGCTTTTTCTTAGACTGAACTAAATACAATTATACAGTTTGTTAGAACACTTTATTTCAATTTCTATTTCCTACTAGGTGGTTTACTCATATCAAAGTAACTAGTAAGTCTGAACATGAGGTTCACAGTTCTCATTGTCTTAAAAACTCGAAAAGCCACAATTAATCAATTCACTACGTTTCAATCACAAATTATATGGGGTGGTTATATGCATCATTTGCATCCTTTTCACTCTAATCGTGTAATACTTGGAGAATTCACATAAAAACTATTTTTTAAGCTAGCCGTCAACGGTCAGCCTACTGTAACTGTCTTTTATGTGGGTCCGGGACTAACTATGATCTGGTGAAGCTCAGATAGGCAAAGTTAGCATTGCACAATAATGTGTTACATAATTTCATTTTGGTCAGGATGTGTGAAATCATTTCTTTTTTGCAAAGGAAATCTAGTTTCTTCTTTAAAGCATCTAGTTAGCAATATGACTACTATGGTTCAATCAGGCTGGGGGAGAGAGAGATTAAATGCTTACTATTTGAAACTTGGAAGTCATTGTACTGGAGAGGGTAGAGAAGAGAGAGAGGGGGGGGGGGGGGATTAATTGATTGCTAAAAAAAAAAGCATAATTGACCATATTTCTTGCTCATCACAATACACCAACTATCCTTTGGCAGGGATCATTTTCTATCTATTTATGTGATAATAATTTGATATGGAGTTCAAAATCAGCATAAAAATTTCTATGAAACCATATTAAACAAGTAATATTCATTTTGAGAAAGTGGAACAAGTTTGGGATGAATTACTAAAGAAGAAGAGAGTAAATTAGCAGAACTATCATGTTTATCATTGTGGATGCAACTCATGTAAGGTGAAAGTAACAGCTCGACGAGGACATGGAAGATAACATGAATAATAGTATTAAAGGTATCATAGTGGAGTCATTGTCAAAAAAACCTCATAGTGCATTCTTAGAAGGTAATATATGTGTTGGGAGCATTTCAATAAGCAGCTTATTGACTCCTTAGGGTCATTACCAGGTCTGAGGAGACAAATGAAACAGAAGCTCAAAGCTGGCCTATTTTATTTTATTTTTTGGATAAGGAAATCCACGTTGATAATAAACTAAAATCAAAGTTGGCTTCTAATGTCCTTACCCCAAAAGAATAAAGAAAAGAGAAGAAGATGCAAACTACTCCTACAACTACTACGCCTGTTCCAACCAGGTTGGATCGGCTATATGAATTTCTGACTATGTTTCTCCGTTTAAATTCATCTAATATATATACAAACTAAAAGTAAAAATAAAAAAGGGAGAATAAGTTGATCTATGATAGGGCAAAAAGATCCCAGAAAGCATAGGACCTAAAGTAAACGTACGAACATGACTAAAACATATCCCCAACTAATTGATATTGCTTATGTATATCTTTTAGCTTTTATTGTGCTCTATCTTTCGCTAAGTTTGCATGGATTCCAATAAATTATAGGTTTTCGAGACAACTCCGTTCCATGTGATTTTAGATCTATCTCGTTCCCTTTTTAACACTTTCATTTACCATATTTTCATACCTATGGACCAACACAGCTGAAGGTCGACATGAACAGACCATCACAAATGACTTTATCTCATTTTATCCTCAATGTGTTATTTGCGCCTTTTAGCAAATGTGATCATTTTTTATCTTATCTGATCGTATATGACTGAACATACATGTTAATATTTGTATCTCTACAACCTAAGTTGTTCGGACTCGGATGCGGGTATCCGATACGGGTGCGAATCTAAGATCGGATCCTTCATGATCTAAATTTTAAGATTTAGGGGTCTGTATCCAGATACAGGTGCAGGGATTCGACTGAAAATGATTCAAATATCTAAAAATAGAGTAATAAAAATATGTCTAAATTATGAGACATCATGTGAAAAACATTCAAGGTATTCCGAAAAGGAGAAAATATTGATCAAGAGGAGAATTTGAAAAGGATTAGAGGACAGACATAAAAACTTCTATACATACAAGGTATTCCATTTTCTTCAATTTCACCCTAATTTTGTTTTAATTTCATAAATTATTGTATTTGTCCCGAATTTCTCCTCGATTTTGGTCAAAGTAGCCAATCGGCTCGCGATATCCAGTACGGATCCCACACCCACGCCGTGTCGACAGGGGTGCAGCACTGAAAGTGAAGAGTCCGAGCAACTTAATCAACAACACTCATCTTGTAGATGTGTTGGACTTTTGTAGCCCAATATTCACTCTCATATGACATTGTTGGTCTTGTAATTCTTCAATGCAACTTACCTTTCACCTTAGTAGGCATACTTCAATAGATAATACCACGGGAGTACTTCTCTATTTCAACCATCCTTATAATTGTTCCATGCTAACACCTCTTACTAGAATCTAAAACCAATATTCCTCAAGCCCTAGCCATCACCCAAATTTATTCATTGTGAGTTCAAATATGCCTCAACCCTAAACAAGTTGAGCTAGCTATATGAATTCTCTATACCCGATCCTCTCCATTATTTCATTCTAATACTAAATACTTATTTTTTAAAAACATATTAGAGGTTCTATAAAACTAGAGCGGATCTCTAAATTCACTTATCCTTGCACGAACATACACTATTCAGTCCAAAGAGAAAACCTGTGCACACGCCTTAGCACCTACACTAAAGCGCCAATTAAGGCATAGCGCACAGCCTGAGGTTCACCGAGCTTCAGGGCCTAAGCGCACTTTAAGCAAGACTTTAACAATATATTCCAAAAGCTGTTAATCAAGACATCCACTCTATGTGCACTATGGAGCAGTATATTAAACAAGGATTGTGCTTTCAGTATATTGAAGAGAAAAAAAAACAAAAAATCAAAGCATTACCCAGGAGAGAAGCCTGCAGAATTAGGAGATAGAGAGCAACATCATCTCTCCAATTGATGGGGCCATGAAAAATCCACCGGCTATAAAATATGACACTAGTGCTGTATACCCAGTACAGCAAAACGCAGAACATCAATATCCGCATCCTTCTTACAACCAAAGGGCCTTTTCCTTTGTGAATGTGAGACAAAGCCACAATAATTGATTCTTGAAATGAGATGTGGGACCATATTCCGAAGAACACAAGTGTTTCGCCCAAAATTAGGGAGGCGAGTATGAACAATACTATATATGTGGCCAACATCTTGTGTTCTGCAATTGCGACCCAGAGAAGAATTTGCTTACAAAAAGGTAAGGGGACTAAGGTCCCATGGCGTTTATCTCGTTTCAGCTTATGCTCTGCTGAAATCAAGAATTGGTGATTCAAATTTTCAATTGACAATCTGACACCAAATGATATTCCAGAGGGGATTTTTCCATCAATTACATATGAAATTACAAAATTCAGTTATTGAAGGTTTTATCTAAAAGAATTTAATCTTTGCCCTTACCGGTGTTTACACCAATTTTAGTTAAGTTAATCAGAAGAAGAAAACTAAAATTTATTAGGAGTCTTTTTTCAATAAATAATTTTTAGAAAAAGAAAATAGAGCCATAATAAAAAAGTTTTAGGGCTCCGTATATGTCTTTGTTATAGTTCTGTCAATTTTCATGAAAGATTTAGTTTATCAAATATAAGATTGTCATATTAATACCTCAATCACCTACAACCAAAAAAAAAATTGTTCACCCTGTTTCGTAAATTAATTAGACCTACAAAACCTGTGAAATTTAAAGCTAGAAAAGTAGAGTGAGAGGGATCTAATTTCTTGAGATTGGTACGGAAAATTTTATTTTGTGTCTCATACAACTTACACTAGTTGTATGAGGTAACTTTTTGTCTGACAGTTTTGTGGACCCAGAATTCTATGGACCCAACAGTGTAAGATTGGGGTCCACAATTTTGTTAGACAAAAAGGAGCCTAATACAACTACTATCAGTTGTATGAGACACAAAACAAAACTTCTCGATTGGTACCAAGAGTTTTTTTGGTGGAATAGAGCTTTGCTTCTTGACTTATATTTCAAAATGTATTCCATTTCAATGGTTGGCTAGCACATAGTTTGAGTAGAATAGGAGAACTACAATTATTCCTTAACACTTAACTGGCCAGTAAAAGTCATGTAATCAAAAGTATAATTATTGAAAAATCTTGGCCAAAGAAATAAATGATTGTATTATAAGAAGGGGGAATTTGTAAATGGCAATAAAGAAATAATCTCTCGACGTTTTATAACTCCATAAGAATTATTGGAATATTTTGGCCACAAAAATTGATAAAAATGATTCACTATTTCTATTCAATCTACTTGCCGATAAGAGCACAAGGGAATAGCAAGGCGATCAAGTATAATTTTATATTATTATTTAAGATCATGTATAAAATAAAAGGTTGTTAATCATAGTTAATTACAAACAAATGTAATTAAATATAGTGACAAGTGCCATTTATTTATTTGCTTGGTGTTAACACCCGATGCGAGTAAGTTTTTACCATAGAGAATAAATATAGCTTTTTTCAAGGAAGTTGGAGTAATATGACTTACCAGGTTAATTAGTGTTATATATAAAGAAATGGTTAGTATGTCCTACGAGTGGAGAAAGAGTATCTTGATTTGAATGTACAAGAACAATGAAAATATTCAAAGGTATGTGAACTACCATAATATTAAACTTATGAGCATAGAAACTTTGAGAAACAATGATAGCGTATTTTTGCTCAAGAGCTACGTAGAACCATCTTGAATTTATATATATTAGATCTATAATGAAGGTTATATTCTTTCTAAGAAAATTAACGAAAATTTACTAGAAGAAGAAAGATTTATATATCGTGTTTATTGACCTAGAGAAAGTGTGATAGAATATCGAGAAAAGATATTTGGCAAATATTAAAGAAGACGTGAATTAATGTTAAATATACAAAATATTATAAAGAATATGTATGAAGGAATTGTCATTAGCGTGCGGACAATAATATGGTATACAAAGGAATTTCTCATAATCATGAGTTACTCCAGAAATCGACATTAAGTTCATGGTTATTTATCTAAGTTATGAATGAGCAAACTAACACTATACAGGATAAAGTCTCATGATGTATGATATTTGCTATTATGTTCATTAGTGAAACCAATGAGGGTGTCTACCAAAAACTTGAACTACGAAAAAACACTCTTGAGTATGAGGATATTAGGATCAACAGAAGTAAGATTGAATATACGTAAATGTAAGTTTAGTCACTATAGGAAGAATAAAGAAGTGAGATTATACAGAATCGCTTTGCCTAAATGCAAATAATTCAGATATCTAGGCTTGATGTTAAAAAATATATGATAGATGAAAACGTTGCATAAATTGAAAATATAATAGTCAAAATGCAAGTGTCACTAAAGTTTTGTGTGATAAAACGATATCTACCAAATTAAAAGACAAGTCTTATAGATCGGTTGTAAAACTAGCAATATTATATGAGCGAAGGCATTTAAAGTCGAACATATCCATAAAATGGGTGTCATACTTATTCAAATTCTAAAGTGGATGCGCAATCATACAAAAATAGTCTAAAGATGGTCAGATTTGGCAAAGGTGTATAAGTAGAACATATAAAGGATAAAATGAGAGAAACTCGCTCGAAATGGTTTGATTATGTCTTACATCGACTTTAAATATACTTATTGATAGGTGTAAAAGTATGATAGTGAAAATATTAAAAAGGGACAAGGTTAGCCAAAAATCACTTGACGAGAAATTTTCTTAAAAACCTACAATCTTCTGGAGTCCATGAGAACTAGCAAAAATATGATACAATGAAAAAAAAAGGTCTATGTGAGCGACACCAATTAATTGAAAATTTGTATAATAGTAGAATATAAGGAACTTATGTGCAGAAGTTCTTTTTCTTGAGTTCTTATTTCTATTTTTATATAATATTATATTGAGATAAATTTGAGATGAACTTAAAAGGAGGAAAGTAAATATTGAGGAATCATATTGTCAATCCAATTTATTTGAAATTAATATGCAATTATTGTTGGTGAAAATAACTTTTCTCTATTCAACTCTTTAAAAATTAATTTTTAAATGCACACTTCACAAAAAATACATATAGATATAACTTCTCTCTATTCCATTTCTCAATTTTTCTTGAAAGAGAAAATTATTTTTCGTTCAATATTTTAAAGATGGATAGACTTAGACTTTGCTTGTTTTATTAGGAATTTTGGATTAATATGTATAAATCTGAAAACTTATGATTATTAAGATGACTCTAAATCTATACTGTATAATTAATATTGTTTGTTTTCTGAACATATGAGTCTTTAATTTATCATTATTAAAACTTATTAATGACTATAAAATTTAAGATATGTAATTAAATACTATATCAACAAAATATTAGTGAAAATACTCATTTACATTGTAATTTAAGTTGTTTGTTCGATCAAATACACTTTAAAAGCTAGTAACAGTGATCGTTAGCCATACTGATGATGGACATGACTGGAGATGATAATGATTGGAGGGTGGTAATTAATGATTGTTAGCAATAGCAGTGGTGTTCCTTTGGGGATGGAGGACGGCAATGGAGGTGGCTGACAAAGGTAGTTAGCGGTAGCAGTGGATCATGGTGGTGGTCAAGATCATGGTGGTGGTAAATTAGTGGTGATGATAGTTGGTCATGGTGATTGACAATGAAAGTGATATGATGGTTGTTGGTTGTCAATGCAACGGAGGTCGATGAAGGATTGTGGTTATGCGTCAAAAGTTGATGAAGATAGCTGGTGATGATGATTGTAGGCTTGTGGTCGCAATGGATATAAGAGTAAACAATCACATTCATAGAAATCTTTTAAGTATCCAACGTCAAACCTATTAAAAGCAACAAAAAAATAAAAGTTTTAGCCCAAAAAAAAAAAAAAAGAACAAATAACTCCATTAGACGAAAACAAACGGTGCTTCACCTTTATCTCAACAAATACAAAAAATTCATATCTTTCCAACAACTGTGTCAAGTCAATTGTTATTTTTTTCATTAGGAATTACGATAATTGCACTATTCTTATGTGTTTCCTAACCATCATTCGTTAGCTTAAAACAATATTGACACTGCTTCCATTCGAAGAGAGTGCAGCATTGCCCAAAAAGGTCTTCTGAAATTGGTATGAATATATTACAATTCCGGCAGATGACAAAATCAAGGAGATGCAAAACCGACAGCCTATCCCTCTGGATACATCAAAAGCAGTATTGCCTTTTCCTACTTGCAAAAGCTAGAACACTAGGCACAAGATTCGAGCAAGAAACGAAACAAGATCAAATGAGCTTTCTTACTGAACCAAGTAACGGAACATAATCTAATTAGGTTACGAACAAGAATTTCAAGTCTGCCTCTGTTAGTTTTCCCAAGGCCTCCGAAGAGCCACCGACCGTCCTGCAAAAGCATTAATATTGAATGTCAGGACATCAGAGAGAAAAGGAGTGGCCAAGTAAAAGAGAGAAATCAGGAGCTAAGAGTAAAACGGGAAAAGGTCAATAATTTCTGTCCAAATGAGATTCGAGGAGAGATGCATCTGAGTGTATATTTTTGCAACTTATACGAATGAGAAACCCTAAACATATTCGAGCGCTCCATGTATAGCCCCATTTCAATCCCTAGCCAACCGTCTTATTTTTTAGTTGTAAACATCTCGACAACAACTAAACCTTAATCCCAAACAAGTTGGAGCTGGCTATATAAATCCTCACAGATTGGTCGCTCCATTTAAACTCATCAGGTCATATTTTATACAAAGATCTAGAGAGCAGAAACTGGTAAAGTTGCTGCCATGTGAGCAGGTCATGGGTTCAAAGCCATAGAAACAGCCTCTTGCAGAAATGCAGGGTAAGGCTGCGTACAATAAACCCTTTGTGATCTGGCCCTTCCCCGGACCTCACGCATAGCGGGAGCTTAGTGCACCGGGCTGCTCTTTTTTTTTTTTTTTTTTTACAGCAGAAAAAATTTACGTGATTCTCTGAATTTATCTTGAAATCACTTCTGAGGGTAACATTACGAAAATCACTCAACAGTTACAAGTCATCAAATTACTCTCTCTGAATACACATGCAACTACCTCAGTGAAGTTGGAGAAACTTACCCTTCAAAAACCAGTTCCTTTTTCTCTTGCAACTTTAAGATCCTCTCCTCAATTGTATTCTCAATCACAAATCTCACAATCCTAGATATGAGAAAACAGCAATAAGCTCCTTTTCAATGGCATAGCAGGTTGAAGAAACACAAATACGCACCTGATTGGTTTATACTGCCCTATTCGATGGATTCTATCTTGGGCTTGCTGCTCCACAGCAGGATTCCACCAAGGATCCATCAAGAAAACCTAGTAAAGTTACAGAGAAGAGCGACAAGGAAAGTGGTCTAGGTCATTCAAACAAAAAATTACAAGTCCATATAGAATCTAAGCTGGTTCTTTAGGTGCACAGAGAAGATAAGTTAAAATATCTCAAACGAAACAAAATATTTGGAACCTGAAGAGCAGAAATAATGCGACAATAGATTCAAACCACTTGGTATTTAAAAAGAAATGAAGAGTCCGCATTCACAGGG